GGAGTGGCCGGATGAAAAGTCCGTAGGGGTCCAGAACTTTGTAAGCTGCACGCAGGAGTGACCCTTCGCCGGAGGGACCTCTTGGTGCGGGCCCACAGTGGTCTCACGAGCACTGGCTCGCGCGCTTGGAGGTGGGCCCTCCGTGGCCCCCGAAAGTCGCGCACCAGGGGTCACTCTTGCCTAGGGTCACTGCTGCGTGTTGCCCGACCACGCAGGAGTGACCCTGGGCAAGAGTGGCCTTTGGTTCGCGGCTCTCGGGGGCCGAGGAGGGGGGGGGGGGGGGCAAATCCAAGCGCGCCAGCCGCTGCTCGGGGGACCCACTCACCACCCACCAAACCACCCCAACCCAACCCGAAGGCTCAGATTTACCCTCGATTTCTAGTGGGGGGGGGTCCGGGAACATCGAAAAAACACATATGGAGCCCATACCCCCCCCAACCCATACCCCCCCCAACCCAAATTGGGTTGGGTGGTCTGGTAGGTAGTCACCCACGCTGGTGGGTCCGCGCCAAAGTTCCCTCTGGAGACGGGCCACCCTCACGTCTAGAGTCTGGGGGCCCACGCTGCGGACCAGAGAGAACAGGGCCTCGGAGTCCTTTCTTGAGTGCTCCGGCGATGCGCTGCGGCACCGTGCGCGGCGCCGTGGTGCATCCTGGCGCGGCCCGCCCAGGCCGATCTCGAGCTTTCGTGCCAGCGCGGCCCGACCCGACGCACGTTCCGATGCGATACGATCTCGCGATCCTCCTCCTCCCCCTCCTCCTCCTCCTCCTTCTCCTCCTCCTCCTTCTCCTCCCCCTCCCCCTCCTCCTCCTCCTCCTTCTTTCCTTCTTTTTCTCCTTCTTTTTCTCCTTCTTTTTCTCCTCCTCCTCCTCCTCCTCCTCCTCCTCCTCCGTTGACTGGTCCTGTTTGGAGTCCGCTGGGGGTCTGAGGTGGCCCAGAACTGGTTCATGCCAGCAGGAAGGGGAGGGGGGCAGGTTCGAAATTTTGTGTTCGATCCGGTTTCTGGCTTTGTTCGGTCTCTAAGGGCCATTCTCGGGCCCTGGGACCGTCAGAAACGGATCGAGGGTGAAAAACTATCAACAACTGCACCAGATTGACCCTGGGAGGGGTCTGGGGACCGATTTTGCGCGGATTTGGCCTCATCCCCCCTTCTGATCGACCCTCTGGCACTGCAATCGCTCGGACGTCGAATTCCCCAATTCCCCATGCGTTGTTCGGTTTCGTGAGTTTTTTTTTTTTTTTTTTTTGTTTTGTTTGTTTTGTTTTGTTTGGTTTGTTATATATATATAGATAGTATTATTATTGTTATTATTATTATTATTATGATTATTATTATTGTTGTTGTTGTTATTATTATTATTATTATTATTATTATTATTATTATTATTATTATTATTATTATTATTATTATTATTATTATTATTTATTATTATTATTATTATTATTATTATTATTATTATTATTATCTATATCTATATATGTATACACATTATATTATGTTTAATATAGTTTCGCAAGATGATCCAGGAGGCTCCTCGACTGCCCTCGCCAAGAAAGTCCACACGCCCGAGTGATGCCCCGGCCCGTGCAGACCCCCCTCGGCGGCCTCCGAGAGCCTGCCGCGCGCCAGTCCCAAAAAGGCCCGCGGGCCTCCAGAGCGTACTGCCTGTGCGGCTTCTACTACAGGCTGCCGCAGCGGGAGGAAGGCGAGGGCGAGGAGAAGCTCCTCCTCCTCCTCCTCCTCCTCCTCCTCCTCCTCCTCTCCTCCTCCTCCTCCTCCCTCCTCCTCGGGGGAGCCTGCACATCTCGCGGCCTGCTTGGGCTCCGTGAGCGTCGGCGGCGTGCAGGGGGGGGGTTCGGGGGAGGGGGGAAGGCTTCTTGGAAGGAGGCTGCTTCTAAGAAGTCGTCCCCCCTCCCCCTACCCTGAAGTCGGGCCTGTCCCTCATTTTATTTTATTTTTTTCTTCCCCCCCCCATTTTTCCTCGAAAATCGGCCTGTAGGGGCACAGGCCCCACCTAACCCTACCCCCCTTCTGCGCGTTGCCGAGAGTGGAGGGCGCGTCCTGGCCGTCGCGGCCACGGCCGGTTTGTACTTGAAACTCTGGTCGGAACACGCTACGGTTAAGTCGGGCGTGTCCCTCTACAGGGGGAATATCAAGAAATAGTAACAATGATCTGGGGACGATTTTTTTTTACTAGTTTTGAGTATTTTTGGGGGTGTCTTTTGAGTATTTTATATCTTTCGCCAAAAATCCCCCTGTAGGGGGACACGCCCGACCTAACGCTACGGGACCTTGAGGGGGGTGATTCTGAGACATGGGCGTCTTGAAAGGATCATGACGGCTTGCGCAGCATGCCGATCGCTCAGCGTCGGCTCCGAGACGGCAGCTTCGCCTCCTGTCCCTCCCGCTTCAGCTCCCTCCTCCCGCTTCTTCTTGCTCTTCCCATGAACGTGTCCGAAGTAAATTCGATGTACTGATCCTCCTCGCCTTCCTCCTCCTCCTCCTCCTCCTCCTCCCTCCTCGTCCTCGTCCTCGTCTTCAGCCGCAGCAGCGGCATCATCATCATAATCATCACCCGCTTCCGTTCCGACCCGCATTCCAGACGGATTCCGATCCCTGTTGGCTCTATTACGTAATCGAATTGGCAGTGACGCGCGCACGTCTTCAATTTGATTTGAGTCGGCGTCCTGTCCCGTGACCGCCCGACTCGATTCGATTCGGACCCCGGCCAGACGGAGTCCGATTCGATGTCGGTTTCGAGCTGATTCGATGTTTCGACACGATGCTGCAGGAGCCCATTCGAGGATGCGGTTTCGGCAGACTTCTGTGCCTGGCGCAAGCGATCTGCCCGGAGCGCCGCTGGGCACCCCTGCTGAGGCTCTGCCACGAGCTGAAGGACGTGATGCGCAAGCAGTCCACGGTGAAGTGTGCCGAAGCCTGGGTGGAGCTGAACCTCTATGCGGACGGAGTTGAGCTGCATCCCAAGGAGCGGCGTCCGTGTGCAGCTGAGCCTGCGCGCGCGGGCCTCTCCGCCAGAGGTCGTTGCGTTTGCACATCGCCACCGTCCAGTCTCTCAGTCGTCTGGAAAGGTGGCCCTTGTTTGCACCCGTCTCTGCAGCGACTTACCGCCTGACAGAGGACACGTTGCCGCTGCGTGGGCCTCGGGCAGTTCATACGTGTAACAGGTGTGGAACCCATCCCCATGTGGCGCGCTTCTCTTCCCCAGCAGAACGCTGGCGGAAGCCAGCGACAGAGAAACAAGGGCAGGTCCGCTGGCGGAAGCCAGCGGCAGTCAAAGTTGCCCGGAACCGTAACCCGTTATGCGTGTTGGACCGCTGAATCTCATGAGAGGGACCCCATGTGTGCGGAATATTGTGTGTGTGTGCTCTGAGCGGGCCCAGCTCCTCTTGGTCCCCCTCCTGGGCCGGCGCCTTGTCGTTCTTTTCCCTCCCTTTGCACGGTGGTTGAATTCGCCTAGCGCGCCCCGTTTTGCTTTACTCGCCAGCGCGGTCCCTCTGCCTAGCCGCCGACGCAAAAAGTGTGTGTGTGTGGTGTGTGTGTGTGTGTGTGCGTGCGTGCGTGCGTGCGTGCGTGCGTGCGTGCGTGCGCGCGTGTGTGTGTGTGTGTGTGTGTGTGTGTGTGTGTGTGTGGAGCCCCACATGTGTGGAACCCTGCCCCACGTGCAACGCACAGGGCTATTCCGGCGGGAAGCCATGGGAGTCCAGGCGGTCTCCGAGCAGTGCGATGCGCGGGGGGCAGCGGGGCGGAAAGCCGTGATAGTTCCAACAGCCACAGGAAAGGGCCAGGTAGGCGGGAAGCCGTAATGGCCCCAGCAGCCACAGGACAGTGCGACGCACATGGCCAGTGGGGCGGGAAACGGCAAGCAATAGGAACCCCAGCAGCCACCGAAAAGTGCGACACGCACAGGAACCGAATCAACAACGCATACATGGAGTCCAAGGAGGCCAAGCAACAACGGCCATGGGCAGCGCACGGGGTCATAATTAGGAGCTTACGCTTGTGGAGTCCACTTGTGTTGGAAACTGGAGTATCCACACTACCAGTGGCGGGTGGTTTTTCAATCCCAGGACTTTTTGAGGGTCGGGGGCGACGTCGGGGTGGTGTGGCGTATACTTTTCCCCCGTTCTCCTGGGGAGACACCGAAACATGTATACACCAGGATCCCGTATACACCAGGATCCGTTTTCCTGTGCTGGGGGAACGAAGAACGGCGTAAACATATGTGCAAACTCGGAGGTCCGCGCGGATCCGAGAAATCCGCGCGCCGACCTCCGAGTCTTCATGTTTATGTCATTCTTCGCTCCCCTATGTGCGAGTAACAGTGCGGGGCCTGCGAACGCGTCGGTGTATAGATCACCACCCACCAAACCACACCAACCCAACCCGAAGGCCCAAGTTTATCCTTGATTTCCAATGGGGGGGGGTCAGGGAACATTGAAAAAACAGTGGAACCCGTACCCCCCCCAACCCGAAATTCGATTCAAATTCGAGTCTTCGGGTTGGGTTGGGGTGGTCTGGTAGGTAGTCAGTAGAGTTCGGCTCCTCCTTGTGGCAGTCCGCGCACAGGTCTCCAAGCCGCAGCGCATCCGGGAGCAGCTGGCCTCGAGCCGCGAAGCCCCGAAGATGGCCCCAGGAGGGTCCAGGAAGAGCTTACGCCGACCCCATGGGGGGCCCAAGACGGCCCAAGAGAGCCCTCCGTAGCCATTTTGGCTCGAGCCATTCTGGCTCAGGCCATGATGGTTCACGTCGACTGAAGGCAATTCGGAGCTTCATCGTTTTACGATGATGCTTTGTCAGTCGGTGGTCCTTGAATATTGTTGGTGATTCCTGCTGCACCTTCTATCAGTTGAGGCACTCGAGTCGGGGCCACGCCAGTCTTAAAGCGTTGTCCGATATAGTTCCGTATGATCGACATCTGCCGAGGATCTCGAGGCGGCCTCCGAAAAGTGCGGCCTCCAACAGGCGTCTGGACAGAGCAATGGATCGTGGCGCAGCACCCGTTGCACCTGTTCATCGAATCCCCCCGACCACGTGCAAAAGCAAGCCCAGGCCAGGACATGCAACTATCAGGGCATTCGGAAAAGCTACGCAGTGGCAGCAGGCGCTGTCGGTACTACGGGTCATGGTTCTAGCAAAGGTGGTTGTCAACGTCTTCAGCTACAGCGCCGGAATCAGCGCGTGCGAGAAGGGCAAGCAGTGGCAGCTGGCTCTTGGGCTGCTCAGCGAGATGTGCGAGGCGACCGTGGAGCCCGATATCTTCAGCTACAGCGCTGGGATCAGCGCGTGCGAGAAGGGCGAGCGGTGGCAGCCGGCGCTGGCGCTGCTGATCGAGATGCGAGAGGCGAAGGTGTCGCCCGACGTCATCTCTGTTACATGGCCAGTGGAAGCGCGTGCGAGACTGGTTCACAGGGCCTCGTGTGCACAAAATCGCCTCGTGTGCCACCACGGGGCCGAATCGCTCAGGCCAGTCCCAGAGGCGCTCCAGAGGGGTTGCCAGACCGTCCAAGGGCGCTCCAAGACGGCCTCAGTGGGTCCCGAGACGGCCCACGAGGGCCCGAAGCCTTCCGGGGTGGGCTCCACGACGATCCAAGAGGCCGCAAAGATGGCCCAAGAGGGCCCCGAGCGCACGCCAAAGAGGCACAAATCGTCAAATTCCAATGGGAAAACGTATATATTTTCAGCATGCCCGCCTTGTGTGCTCCTCAGCGGCCCAGGACACGCCAAGAGGCCTCCCAAATCGCCCCAAGAAGACGCCAGCGGCCCCTACGAGGGCTCCAAGACGGCCCACAAGAGCCCCGAGACAACGCCAGAGAGCCCTGAAACGGCCTCACAGAACCCCAAGACGGCCCCAAGAGAGCTCCGAGGGGGCCCCAAGAGGGTCCCAAGACGGCCTCAGGCAGCCTCACGAGAGCTCCAAGACGGTCCAAGGCCTCCCGGACGCCCCGCGACAAAAAGCTCCCAGAGCAGCCCAAAAAAGCTTCACAATGCACAACATCGCCACTCTACGGCGCCACCACGGGGTCGAGTCGCTCAGGCCGGTCCCAGAGGCGCTCCAGAGGGGTTGCCAGACCGTCCAAGAGCGCTCCAAGACGGCCTCAGTGGGTCCCGAGACGGCCCACGAGGGCCCGAAGCCTTCCAGGGGGGGTTCCACGACGATCCAAGAGGCCGCAAAGACGGCCCAAGAGGGCCCCGAGCGCACGCCAAGAGGCACAAATCGTCAAATTCCAATGGGAAAACGTATATTTTCAGCATGCCCGCCTTGTGTGCTCCTCAGCGGCCCAGGACACGCCAAGATGCCTCCCAAATCGCCCCAGGAAGACGCCAGCGGCCCCTAAGAGGGCTCCAAGACGGCTCACAAGAGCCCCAAGATAACGCCAAAGAGCCCTGAAACGGCCTCGGCCCCAAGAGAGCTCCGAGGGGGCCCCAAGAGGGTCCCAAGACGGCCTCAGGCAGCCTCAAGAGAGCTCCAAGACGGTTCAAGGCCTCCCGGACGCCCCGCGACGGCCCAAAAGGCCCCAAAACGTCCCAAAACGCTCCCAGAGCAGCCCAAAAAACTTCAGAATGGCCCGAAAAAGACCCCCACAAGGACCACCAAGCAGGCCCAGAGACGCCCACTAAAAGAGCGATCGGTGAAGCAAGGCTCCCAAGAGCGAGACGCAGCGTAGAGAGCTCTCCCAGGCACAGCTCCCAAGAGCGAGCGGTGACGTCGGGACACTCTTCCGACCTCTCACACAGGAGCACGCACGCACAGCACGCAAGCACAATAGATTTCCTGGGCTGTCCCTCAGACGAGGCTCGAGGGGACAGCCCGGGAACGGCCCCAGAGGCGCCCAAGAAAAACTTCAAGAGAAAAGGCCCCCAGGAGGCCGCAACACGGCCAAATAGGGCCCCGAGAGGCCCCTAGGAGGCCGCAAGACAGCCAACGAGGCCCCAACAGGCCACCAGGAGCTCGAAAAGAAACCCCGAGAGGCCCACTAACCTTTACCAAGGAGACGGTAGCGCCCGCCATCAGGCTTCGAAGAGGCAACCGGAAAAAAGTCACCAGAGCCCTCCGGGTGACTTTTTTCAAGGCCCCAGGTGCTTTCAAAATTGACAAGCGTCGAGACGTACACCGCAGACCCACCATAGCCGTCTGTGACGCTCCGAAGGCTGTCTAGGCGGAGGTAGAGCGGAAGGTGGACGAAGAGAAGGAAGCGGTCCAAGAAGGCCTCCGAGACGGCCCAAGACCGCTCGAAGACGCTCCAGACGAGCCGCGGCAAACGAAATCATTGATTCTTCTTTGGTTTCTGACAGATTTCCGCCTTCTCGCCATTTCGAGCGAAGACAGGCCCAAGACGGCTTTTTCGAGCCAGGACTGGCCCAAGATGACGTGGACGAAGTCCACGGGTTCGCCCTAGTCTCTACTACATTGCAGGGCCCAGTGCGTGCCAGAATGGCGCAGGCTCCAATGCACCAAAACCGCCCCCGGCTGGCCCTGGGCCGCCCCGGGCCACCCAGGCAGGCTCCAGGACACGTCGAGAGGGCCCCCAGAAGCCCCCAAGACGGCCCCGGAGAGCCCCGGCACGCTTAAAGATGGGCCCAAGACGCCCGAGATTCGCCCCAGGCGGCCCAAGAGGCGTCCAAGACGCCCGAAGAGGCCTCCCAAGAGGCCTCCCAAGAGGGCCCCGAGCGACAGAAATCGTCGATTTCTATTGTGTTTTTCGATGTTTTCGGCCTCCTCGCCTCGTCGGCTTCCCGACGCTCCAAGACGGCCCAAGAAGCCCCCCCGACCGCTCCAAGACGGCCGAAGAGGACCCCAAGAGAGCCCCAAGACGGGCCAGGAGGGCCCCCAGACGGTCCCAAGACGCCCCAGGACGGCCCCAGGACGGCCCAGAAGGCGCCCAAGACGGCCGAAGAGGCACCCAAGACGGCCCCAGGAGCGGCCCAAGACGGCCCAAGACAGCCCAAGAGGCGCCGAGGCGGGTTTCAGACGGCCCCAAGACGGCCCAAGAGGCACCCAAGACGGCCCGAGAGGGCCCTAAGAGCCCCCCCGGGAGGCCCAAACGAAGGCCGAAGAGGCTCCGAAACGGCCCCCACGAAGCCTTCAGTGCCTTCAGAATTCCCTCCAGGAGCGGGGGAGCGGACGAGAGGCGACAGGCATATCGCAGGCAAAAACGCCCCAAGAGATCCCCAAACGGCCCCCACGAAGCCCTAAATGGAAAGCCAAGCTGGAGCCCGACGCCATCATGATTGCCTTTCGGCCCTGCAGCCGCACCCCCCCGCGCTTGCCCAGAGACCCCTCGCCACGTCGAGCTGATGTCGTGGACGGAGTCCACAGGTCTGCCCTAGTCAGCTACAGTGCTGGGATCAGCGCGTGCGAGAAAGGCAAGCATTGGCAGCTGGCTCTTGGGCTGCTCAGCGAGATGTGTGAGGCGACCGTGGAGCCCAACATCTTCAGCTACAGCGCTGGGATCAGCGCGTGCGAGAAGGGCAAGCAGTGGCAGCTGGCTCTGTCGCTGCTCAGCGAGATGTGTGCGGCGACCGTGGAGCCCAATATCTTCAGCTACAGCGCTGGAATCAGCGCGTGCGACAAGGGCGAGCAGTGGCAGCCGGCGCTGGCGCTGCTGCGCGAGATGCGGGAGGCGAAGGTGTCGCCCGACGTCATCAGCTACAGTGCTGGGATCAGCGCGTGCGAGAAGGGCAGGCAGTGGCAGCTGGCTCTTGGGCTGCTCAGCGAGATGTGTGAGGCGACCGTGGAGCCCAACATCTTCAGCTACAGCGCTGGAATCAGCGCGTGCGAGAAGGGCGAGCAGTGGCAGCCGGCGCTGGCGCTGCTGAGCGAGATGCGAGAGGCGAAGGTGTCGCCCGACGTCATCTATACGCCTCGGCGGCTCCGCCCAGGGGGGCCGCTCCTGAGGGGAGCGCCCAGAGAGCCCCCAGAGCCTCTGGGGAACCTCCAGAGAGCCCCAGAAAGCCAACGCGAGCGCGATCCGAAGGACCCAAGCCAGCTCCATAGGCCTCCAGGGGTGCCGCGAGAACGCCCAACTGCCGATATTTACAATGCTTTTTGCTGATCTCTCTGCTGCTCCCTTCTGTGGCGCCATGACACCCCATTCGCCACCGCAGGCCTCCGCCTTGGGCCCAGCGCGGCCCTGGTGGCTCCCAGCGAGAGCCCCTCCCACGTCCCAAAAGGCCCCCAAGACCGCTCCAGAGGCTCCCAGGACGAGGCAAGAGACCTGGGGCGCGGCGCCTCCGCGGCTCCGCCCAGGGGGGCCGCTCCTGAGGGGAGCCCCCAGAGAGCCCCCAGGGCATCTGGGGAGCCCCCAAAATTCCCACGCGAGCGCGATCCGAGGGACCCAACCCAGCTCCACAGGGCTCCCGGAGAGCCTCCAGGGGTGTCGCGAGGACTTCAAACTACCGACGTTTACAGTGTTTTGGGATGATTTCTCTGCTGCTCGCTTCTGTGGCGCCGTGGCACCCCATTCGCCAACGCAGGTTCCGCCTTGGGCCCAGCGAGGCCCTGGTAGCTCCCATGAAAGCTTTCAAGACCGCTCCAGGGCCCTCCTGATTGGACAAAAACCATGCCCACACCTCTTGGGACACGTGTCGCGCGGGAGGGGGTCCACAAACAGCTTCGGGAGCCAGCCCCCAAACTCACAGGAATGCATTTTCAGGGCCCCCTCTCGCACAACGCGTGTCCCAGGAGGTGTGGGGTATGGTTTTTTCAATCAGGCTCCCTTCCCCTCTTCGGCCATACTGCTGCTATCGCCAGTGCTACTGCGCACGAGGAAGCCGCGCTGTTGCTGATGCTGTTGGAGCTGCTCTTGCTGCTGCTGCCGCTGCTGCTGCTGCTGCTGCTGCTGCTGCTGCAAGCGCAGCCCTGGGCGCCGACAAACCAACGAACACCCAGCTCACCCTGGAGCCCCAAACAACAGCAGGCACCCCTTCAACACTATGGCAGCCGTGGACGGAAATCCACAGGTCACCTGTCGTCTCTTTTACTGTGCAGGGATCCGCGCGTGCGAGAAAGTCCCACTCTCCAGGCCCCGTGGGGCGCCCTCCGGAGCGCAGATGCCTCCAAAACGGCCTCGGGACGGTTCCGAGAGGCTCCAGGGGGCGCCAAGACGCCTCATCAGAGCACCCTTGGGAGTCCCAAGACAGCCCTATTTCAGGCCCCCAAGGCAGGCCAGGAGGCTCCCAAGACGGCGCAGGAGGGCCTCCATGAGAGCCCCAAGAGGCCCAAAGCGTCCCATTCCCGACGGGAAACGCACATTTTCACCACATCGTGTTTTTTCGTCTTCACAGCGTCCAAAACTGCTATGCAGGCCCCCCAGCTCGCCCCAAGACGCGCCCAGAGGCCCACAGGAGGGCCCCCCAAACGGCCCCCACGGCCCCAGGACGGCTCCTAGAGGTATTCTGAAGGAGGAAGGACACTGGCGAGAGGCATCGAGCGTTTGTCCGCGGCCATTTTGGCCCAAGCGACCGGCCGCCAATTTGACCAGGCCGCACCGCGGCCCGCTACCTTGCATCGAGATAGAAAAGGTTCCACCCCTTACTCTTGAGATGTTCCCTCGCCGCTCATGCGGCTCGTCCGTATCTCTGGCACTATCTCTAATACGATACAACAGGGTTGGACGTATACTTCGCCTTAGGCGAAGTACCTGGTTGGGTCTCCCAATTGGGTTTAAACTTGGTGGCGGAGCTGGCCGTTGGTGGTCAGCTCTAGCTCTGCTCCTTGCTATCCCTGGTGGTCTACTGATATGGTGGACCATCAGGGCGCAGTGGCTCTACGTGGAGGAGACCATGGCCATCGCAAGGACACTTGAACTGAAACCGCTGCTCTCGCAGAGGTCTCCTTTTTGAGCCTTACATGTCTGCGCTACTACATGCCTGAAGTCCACCCGCCAACTCCAATGTTCGACTTCTTCGAAGATGCCATGCATGGTAACATGCGTTATGACATCGTGCCGCTATCACCTCCTCGCAAACTGACGGCAACGTCACCTCGCAAACAACAGCCACTTACAACCGACACCGACCTACGGGGCCACTGGATTGGCATCGCTATCTTTGGCCTCTTCTGGGTCGCCATCGGATGTGCTGTTGGACATACGCAACGTGGTGCTGACGACGCGCGCACTACGGGCCCCTACTGTGACCCTGCGGGTAACGTACCTTTCCGCGATTTCGTTTGGGAGGTACATGCCTGGATCAACGGGACCACAGGCACTATGACTCCCTCCCAACAGGCCGCTGCTTTACAGCGTGGCTTCGGAGGTCTCGCAAAGACCATTGCCATCAGAGTCCCATGAGCAATAATCAACTTATGAGTGACATTTGGTGGGCGCCACACCGATGGGGCCATCTACATAATGTTCCTCCTCAGCACCAAGTTCGAGAATTTGGAAGATGAAAGACAACTGGATTCGGGAACGGCTCTCCTCGACTTTCGCGTCCATGCGGGAGACCGGATCGACCGTGCGCTGGCGCGTTTCGAGATTGCACGCTTTGAAGCTGACGCCGCGGGGTTGAACGTCCCAAACTTTCAAATCCTGACAGTCGTACTGTTCAGGGCCCTGGGTGTCGGTGCTTCGCGTGCACGACAACTATTGTAACCACTGAGCCACCAAATGCCAAGGATTCAGCAACTACTCGACTCCTTACTGGAGCGCATGACGGCTTACGCCCATATTGCTGAGCGAACTCCTGGTAACATTGAGGTTGTGTGTAACCGCGGCCACCGCGCTGATGTCTTTCATGGTGACGCTCGTGCGGGGCGACCTGCCGGCACCATCTGGAATAGTGATGTACATCCAAACGAGACCACCAGTCTATTAAGCCAGCAAGGTGGCCAGCCCGCGGGGTCGCAAGACTCCTGGGATCAATCTCGGCGGCCATCGGCAACGGCGGCCCCTGCCCGAGTCATTGCTTTCGTGGGCTCGGTGGAGCAGCCCGCGCAGTCCGACTTTGACTCGGGCACCGATGCTGGCACTTAGTCGTATGCAGGAAGTGGCGGCGTATTCTTTTCTTTCTTTTATACATATAACGGGGCACCGGGTCCGGGGGCCCGTCTCCGGGACCCCGACCACAAATGTGGGCCCCGGGGGGCCCGGAGGCTCGTAGGGGCTTGCCGGAGGCCTCCCCGGTCAGACAAGACGGCCCAAGAAGCGCCCAAGACGGCCCAAGCAACTTCCAAGAGGCCTCCAAGAGGGCTCCAAGATGCTGAAGAGGGCCTCCAGACGTCCAAGGACGCCCCCAAGACGCCCCAAGAAGCCTCCAACATGCGCCCCAAGAGGGCCCCTAGACGCAAAAATTGGCCCATTCCCTTTGTAAAACGTGCATTTTTCACAAAGTTGCCTTTTGGGCTTTCCGACGTTACAGGACGGCCCAAGAGGCGCCCAAGACCGCCCCAAGACGGCCCAAGAAGCTTCCAAGAGGGCCCCAGGACAGCCCAAGAGGGCCCCAAGACGGCCCAAGAGGCGCCCAAGATGGCCCAAGAGGGCCCCAAGACGGGCCCAAGAGGGGGCCCAGAGGGGGACCACGAACCGCAAGCTCGAGCCTTCCGCCCCAAGAGGCCGCCAGGAGGCCCCAAGGAGGCCCCTCAAGAGGCCCCAGGAGACCCCCAAGAGGCCCAAAGGAGGCCCCGAGAAGCCCCAAATCGGCCCCCAAAATGCTTCGAACCTGCTTCCAGGAGGCCTCCGACAGGTTCAGAGGCTCCCGAGAAGCTACGTCAAACTCCCAGCGAGCGGCCGGACGAGGCCCCCCCAAAAATCCCAAGAGGGTTCCAGTATTTGTATCCTTCAGCGCTCTCTGGCCTTCTTCCCCCTGCCCCCTTCCCTGCGACTTTCGTTGACTCAAGCTCGCCTCCTCTCCATTTCCTCTCTCTGCTCTCTCTCTCTCTGTCTTTTTTTTGTTTCTCTCTCTCTCTCTCTCCATCTCTCTTCTCTCTCTCTCTCTCTCCTTCGCTCTCTGTCTGTCTGTCTCTCTCTCCCTCTCTTTCTCTCTTTCTCTCTCTTCCTTTCACATTATGTGTCCTTGCGACCTTCTGCAGTCCCCGACGTCGCCACGGCTGGATCCGCTCGAGCGTGTCTTGTGATGTGCGGCGGTGCGAAGCCCGTCCCACTGATCAAGGCATAGGTACGAAATGATGGGTCCATCATTTCTTGCCTTCCCATGTGCGTTTTCCCAATCGATTCCTGGGCCCGAGGTCGCAAAAATTACGACGTCGGAGGTCTGGGGAGGCGGGAAGCACGACCTGGACCTCCGACGTCTTGGAAAAATCACGACGGCGGTTTTTGTTAATTTTCGGCCTCCGGGGCCCCTCGCAGGTTCCCGGGACCGTCAGAAAACGACTCAGAATGAAAACGACTTGGGCTACAGGGCTATTGGGCTACAGGGCTATAGGGCTGTAGGGCTATAGGGCTATAGGGCTAGGGCCATAGGGCTATAGGGCTATGTGGGCTATTCGGCTATTGGGCTATAGGGTTGTTGGGCTGTAGAGCTATGGGGCTATAGGGCTACAGGGCTATAGGATCAGAGGGCTATAGAGCTAAAGGGCTAGATGGATATAGGGATATAGGGCTATTGGGCTATAGTCCTATAGGGCTATACGGCTATAGGGCAATAGGTCTACAGGGCTATAGGGCGATAGGGCACCCCCAGGCACCCCGGCACCCGGGCACCGGGCACCCAGGCACCCAGGCACCGGGCACCCGGGCACCCAGGCACCCGGGCACCCGGCCTGGCCGCATGGGGCCAGAATCTTGCCGAACCTGATCGGACCTTTTAATCCGCCAGGACCCTTACAGAGGCAAGCTCTGATTGGGTACTAACCCATGTCAACCGCCGCTACCTTCGTCGCCGCGATCGCCGCCGTCTTCA